AACAACTTCCAAACCAATTGTTTTTATGGCAACAAGTTTGAAAAGTACTTTGGACAAATTAGTTGGCTGCCTAGAGGAAAGACTTAATTTGCGCCATTTTGTTTAAGATATTTACTTCTGGTGAATGGCGAGTTCGGAAAAATTTCCAATTTGACCTTATCTTTTTCAGGTTCAACCAACTCAAGTTTTGTTTTACCCCTTGTTGGGATCTATGGTTTATGGGGTTGGGCTATTATTAATGTTAAGGAATCAGATTTAAATTTTAAACCAATTTAAGCTTGAATTGCTCCCAAAAGAGTTTTGGGTTTTTCAAAATTGGAATTGGGTCCTGTAGGTAAGTTCAAGAAACTAAATGGCTCCCCACCCATTTCTTAAGAATTTTTTGGGTTTTTTCCTTTCATTTTCATGGGATTAAATTCCAAATGATGATTGCATGTTTCAATTCTTTGTATGGGGACTCCCACCATGTGAATTTTCTATATTGTTATACCCACCTTTTACTATTTTTGGAATTGGCTAAAACTTGTGGGTGGTTATAATTGCAGGAAAAAAGAAGCGGGAAAATAATAATCAAAAGACTCTTAATATGCCAGGGCCCATGGGCGTTACACATTTCCTTCACGTCATTCAATACAAAACGCCTCTTGCACCATACTTGAGGCGTTAGCCCACAAGGCCCCCACCTCTAAAACATTTTTTAAGATTTACCAAGAAGTACTTCCTTTTGCGCAGTTGATTGTTGCTCAATCTTCAAGTGTGCCCTAAAGATGTCCTCAGGAAAATCTTCAAAAACTCGCCCCTTGGTTAATACTCTTGAGAATGGCAGTTACACTAAATTCCCCATGCATTTGTCATGCCATTAGGCTTGTTTTCATTTAGACTTGTGTGCAAAAACTGATTCCCATCTTAAATTGTAGTTTACTGAAAATCAGGGCCAAAACCTTAGCAGTACTTTATTTATTTGCAGATGTCCAAAGGCGGATATCGTCTAAAATGGCTGGACTATTTGAAGTTTTTGAACTTCCCTAGAAATTGGTCATATGAACCCAATCATTAAAATTCAGTTTTAGATGGTCTCCTGGAATCTGTTCATTTTCCTTTTCCCTACCCCCATTGAATAAGAATGTTATTCGATGATGTTACTTATTTGTAATGTCTTAATGCAAAAAGAACCTATTAGGTCCAGCACAAAGTGTAGGTAGATGTCATCTTTAAGGTATATCTTGCCAATTTTCTACTCATAGTTAATTATAAAAACCTTCATGCAGAGAAATAAAAAGGACATTTAAATTCCTTCAAGCCATATATAATCAAAGGGAATTGCTTTCTAACACTAATTTTACTTATTGTAGTTGTTTTTTCTTTTTTTTTTTTTTGGGGGGGGAAGGGGGGGGGAGAGGGCGCTAATTGGTCCTCTTTAGGTATCATCTGCAAATTTCTCCTCATCTAAAGCTTAATTTTATAAACTTCTAGTTAGGGAGAAAAAAAGAACATTTTTAAAAAATTCCTCGAAAGCCACTATATATCACGGAATTGCTTTACATAAAACTAGTGTCAGATTTTTTTTTTTTTGGGGGGGCGGGGGGTTATATAAATTGTTGCAGTTTGGTGTCAACTGTGTCAAGGTTGGTACATTTTCTTATTATGTGTCTATTTATCAGTCTTGTACCAATAAGTTTTTATTTTACAATGCACTTTATTCCAGAATCGTTTCTTTCTTGGTTTTGGGACTGCGGTCGAAGCAACAATTCTGAAAGCTACAAACCATTATGTTTTCAGAAACATTCTTTCCAGCCATTTTGATGTTAACACTGTGGAGTGTGGAAGCCAAGTTTGGAATTAGAATGTTT